GTAATGACAAGAAGAAATACTAGACACTAAATACGATAAAATTGATGCATGAATCAGTGAGTTTTATTCATTACTTTTATAAATCAGTTAACATTGTGTTTAGGAAGAAGAAGACATTTCAAACAAGACAAAGTGTTTATGAAATGCTAAACTGTCAGTCGGTTTATTTTGATTGAAGATGATGAACTCAGGAGACATCCTAATGATGATAATTCATACATTGTTGTAGTGAACCAAGTCGATATTTGAAACAAGACTTTACTGCCCCACTTATGACTAAAGTCTGGTATTTATATATGAATTTTTCTTTGGTTACGTTTTCTCGATATGCTGGAGGAGTAATGTGAATTGTCTGATAGTTTAGATAATATTTTATTGGATAAACTTAACAAAATTTCAACTCTAGATGAGAAGGGGGGTGGAAACTGCCACGCTATGCAGTATTTTTGAGAAGCCCTCTTCTCAAAACCCGATAATTCTAAGTGTCTTCACATATACAAACATGTTTGCTTTGATTGGACACTAGTCAGTATCTAGTGTAATGTGTCTAGTTCTATCTTTGTTGCAGACTGAATTCTGTGGCCACTACTCTAGGTAGGTCGTCATCACGGTGCACATTGATCTGATGATATTAGATGGTCGGAGGCAATCGGCAGGAAGCCTTACTTGACCTAGGTTTCGTGCTAGTTGGCACTCACCAGTCAGCAAGGCATATCTGAAACCTTGAAAGAATTCATGTCTCTTCTGAAATCCGAACCCGTGTCACTCATGTTTCTTTGCAGAAGTTTGAGAAAAGCGATAATGTTGTACATTTTAGTAAATGTCTGAGGTTCAATATATTTTCCAGTAGTGTAAAGACACTCAAAGACTATGATATGACCATTGTTGAGACACGATACAACAGTTGAGTGGGTTAGGCGTTCAGTATGTACAAATGGCAGTGAAACTCATGTGCTTGTACTTTATGTGAACAATGTCGTGATTTTCTCTAACCACATAACACTGAACCTAACTGAATAGGAGAAGTTAAATGCTGATGTGTTGCAGAATAATATGAAGAATAATAAATCAGTGATGTACACAATTCACCAAGAATAAGCAATAACTTCATTGTATTTGCAGTGCAATATTGCTATATGTAAGGCCTGCTTTGAATATGAACATAAAGAACATATAAGAATTCTTTTGTACTGAATGCTTTCACATGTAGACTCTTTGTTGTCAGATAAGAGTGACTGACATTTGTCAATCTAATCTTACTTCGCCTAACATTGTAACTGGAAGAAAACAGAGAATTTGTTAACTAAGCACATATTATAACCAAGTTAATTGGTGGAGATTCATGTCAATATCGATTTTTTTACGCCTCTTTCTCACACTAGAAAATTAATAAAAACGGCTATGAGTAAAAGTCTATTATTTTTATGTATTGTTAGGTGATATTTTTGCCATACTAATATCTTTGGGAGAATTCTCCGCTTTAATGTCAATTGTAATGCGTTGCTGCCTAAACCAGTCTAATAATGTTCGGACAGACTCCAGTGTACCATACTATACCATGCCTTAGATCTTTTTGATGAAAAAAATTAACACTCTGATCCTATGGAGTAAAACCACATTATATAACAACTTATATCAGAGTAATATATGGCTTACTATCATGTCTCATTTATACTGTAGTGGAGTGTTGGGCCACCGTAGTACAGTTGAAGGCCAACTAATTTGTTTCTCGAAGTGTTCTATCCAGCATCTTAGTTGTGTGTAATTAGAAGCTACGAAGGGTCCACTTTTCCAATTCTATTTAGCATAACTATTCTACAGCCTGCTAACTTATTAAGCCTAATAGTCGAGGAATTTCTTTTCTGTCATCACCCACTACAAAGACTTTTAGCAAGGCTACATTTTGAAAACTTCTGCTCTTCATCATGCTCTGGGCCAGTATCATTCAGTTCATAAAAGATTAAGGATGTAAGAATGGTATTTGGGCACTGTGGAGGAACACATTTCTATATTAGATAAGTTTATTTGATTTTCAAGTATTGGGTTTTGTGGGAATTTTGTTTGATTGTTTGCAGGGTTTCATCATGAACTGACATCAGTTAGAGAACCACGGAAAACCAGTTTGGAACTCTTTAGCAGTACGTACCCACCGCCAGGGGGTCGAACCCAATACCTTCCGGATACAAAGCGAGATATCTCGTAGACCATCAAGCCACTAGGACCTGATCCACTGGCCCGTGAATTCTAACTTCTGCCAATTTATGACAACGCGACTACTTCATAATGTCTTCTTCGATGAGTTACTGCCTCACTTTCAACCTGCTGCACCCTACTGGTCACAGCTTCCCACTAGAACCCCGGGCCCTTGCCCGAAAAGCGACAGTCGCTAGTGAGCATCAGATACATTATTTATTTATTTGATATAACGCACAATGATATAGTGTTAATTAATGGATAACGTTTCAAGCACAGTTAACTTCTAGTAACCATAATAATGCTCTCACATACACCTCGTTAACTTGCTTTATCTAGCCTCACTGCCTGCTGTTTTTATTTATATTTGTTTATTTATACGGTAAACTGCGATTAGAAAAGCAGTAAGGAGGGGGCTTCATTAAACACGTTATGAATTTGTGTGAATGCAGTGATATGATTATTATAAATAAACTGGGCTCTAAACATCATCCACTTATTAATATTGTATCACTATGTCTTATATCAAATAAACTTATAAGGTTACATATGACTACTGGCTTTTGCTCACTTTTGATCGCAAATTATCAACCCTTGTAACCTCAGCTACTACATCTTAAAGGAGTTCTGTTGTTAGATATGTCATTAGTTGACTCTTCTCTGAACAGAGACATGTCAACTTTATCTGTAAGATGCGAAATTATGGGGTTTGTAGGTGTCAATTTTCTGTGTCTAGTGAGACACAGTCATATGTATGCCTTCACCCATGATTTGAGTTCAGGATATTACTCTGAATGTATAGACAAATCTCCACAGTCCTTTTCAGCGAATAACTTATCAAAATATTACCTGTGTGTATTCGTCAGAGGATTGATATTAGCAGTCGCTGGATGAAGTAATGTCTTCTACTATTTTTAAAGTTGTTCTGGACATCAAGACAAAACTGCAACAAATGATCGCTGTTATCAGTTTACGGAATCTGGAAATCATATATACTCTAGATAAGCTGTACAGATTGATTCAGCCAACCCCCCGTCTATTAGCCATTAAATCAGCTGCTTATATGGCTACATTCAGTATTTTTGAATCTTACAGTATACATCGTGGTCACAAGAAATATCTCCCTCTACTTATTTATAACTTCACCTAAAGTGCACAGGCAGGGAGAAATGAAATTTATTAAGAAGAAAATATGATTTATCTGTGTGTCGCACTGGAGACTGTCGACTGAGATCCGTGAAACAATGCCTTTTCTATTAGTTATGTGAAGTGTGATAAAATAATTGGTTATGTACTTCATCAAGTAGTTTATGAAATGAATGGATCTCAAAGTGCGGTGTAGAAATAGAGAATCAAAACAATACTCAACAAGGTGATGGTTATGATATGACAACATTGCGAAAAATCATACTAAATTAAATGAATAAAGGTTACACATGAGATAATACGGAAGTCATTCAAATTAAAATTAATAATAACAATCGAAATAATAAGAGAAGGATATACAAACTGAATAAACAAGACGAAATATAAGTGGGACCAAAGTGTATGAATGGAGATTATGACAGTTTAATTCATGAATAATCCCCATCTAGTCATTAATGAAAACAAAACACGTAGTTCAGCGAACAGTCTCTTTACAGCAGCGAATTCATTCACTTAGGTGTACAATAGCAATTATACATAAACTTATATTTGTATGCATGTGTACATCAGGTCTGTCCGATAAGAATAAAAATAGGTTAGCGTCATTGTTGTCAAGATATTTCAAAAATGTGATGAGTAATCAAATTGTAACTAGAGGGGGAAGGTGAAGATTGGTAAGAGGATAGTCGTGATGTGTTGTCAAAAAACGTAGTTACTAATGTTAATCAACACAAAAAAAGATGTTGAATAAGCGTAATATAGTTACTCTATAGTTACGCAATATAGTTATTGTTCTCCAATCTGATGAAATATATTCCTACAGTGAAAACCATTACTGTCTACAGACAACTTCAAAGTACGTAACAGTGTAAGATTTTAGCGTATCACTTTGTTACAACCAAAACTGACTTGTTGTGGTCTGAACTGACAAAACTGATGTCTGCATTCTACTGTTTAGCTGTCAAAACTTTCATGAGACACTCACAGTTAAAAAATTCTGCATAGACAGCAAAAAGACGATTGTTTGTGGTGGGAATCTATATATGGTTATATTCGACAATACTATCAAAAACTCAAAATTACCTCAACAGTGTCTTTAGGCAGCTGTATAGTCAAGTATAAAGCATGTACTTAGAATTGTGTAGAATATTCCCAACAAGTTGGGAGCAAAACAAGAATCACACACCAACAACTCCCGAGGGCGGTCCAAGGTCATAATCACTTTGATTCACTCAAACAAAATCACATTGTACACCGCACTATCGATACATCACACAATCACAAAAAGAGACATTAAACTTAGAGATTAACGGAAAGACAAATAATAAGGATCAGGTCAACATACAATATGCAAATATCAGAACAGTGATACAGGGTCCAGGAGAAAAACGGATAATAAATACGAAGTTAGTTGAAACATCTAAACAGTATGAATATTTTGATTAGATCGATTATGAGGGATTTTTCAAAAAACCCTTCTGTCACACACTTAATGTGTCTTCCAGATAATGAATGGAGTGTTACATATCACGGTTAATGGTTATCTTAAACAAACAGTTCACTGTTGTCACTGTCATTCCAGCTGACAAAATAGTCCTGTTTTAATTTGCTTTGTAATTAGATTGACACGAATACTAAGACATTTTTTCTTCTTCTGCCAGGAATCTATGCCTATTCCAAGACCCAGTATACCAAACCAATCAGAGTTCAGATCAAATCCAGTTGAACAACATAGACCCGAATTAAATCATATTGAAGAAATAAGTGCAACTGTAACAGCCACTTCCTCAGAAATTAAAATACCTGTATCCTATTCTCAAGCTCAATCATTTTTCATTCCTTTTGGATTAAATTCTTCTAATGTATCAACTACATTTCATCATCCTAAACACAATTTCAAGTCAAGATATTCTTCTTCAAGTAAATCAAGAAAACAATCCTTAACAGATCAACCTTTGAACGAATTAAAGCATAATGATACTTCTGATACTCAAATAAATAATTCTAGTCAAGAGAATTCAGATAAAAGCCATGCAAGAACTTCTACAGAACAGCTAGAGGAGCATATTTCATCTAGTCCAAATGTAAGTAGTTATTTCAAAAGCGTTTAAATTTTAACTGGTCAAAGTTGAAAATACACAGTTAACATATTTAATAATAACAACTGTACACTTTTCTTCCTTCACGTTCCCCAGTGGAACACAGGGCTTCAAGCTAGAGGCTTGAAGTTCCTGTAGTAGTGTTGATTCTTTACAGGATGGAGTTACTAGCCTCATGCCCAACCTTTCCTCTTTACCATCATTATTTCTGGCTTAGCGAGGTAAAGGAAGGCGTCGGCTGGGGATAGAACCCGGACCGTGTGCATCGTCGGCGAGCATCCTAACCGCTATTCCACCGACGAAACCTTTAATTAAAACTTATTGCAGTTTAGTTCGTCGCAGTTAGCAGACGTGGGGTGCTAAATGATGAAGTTAGTGAAATACAGAAAAGTTATTGAACAGCATAACTGATCTCGAAGGACATCAATTGGTCGGGTAATAATTTTAAAAAAAGGTTTGGAAGAAAAGTCATAAAAATAAAAACAGGTTTATATCAGGAAAGATTATCACATTTAAGGTAACGATATGAGCTTACTAAAATACTCTTGCAAACAGTCTGGAGATTTTATAGATAGCTAATTGATTGAACTGTATAAAACTGATGAAGATATAGAAATTTGAGGTGGTTGACTTTAGTTCCGTAGATCACTTTGAAAAAAGTGAATTATCCAGAGCTGGTCCCCCTAACGGCAACAACAAGTTTTCACAGATGAATGTTGTTATTTCTGCTGTATGCTCACTTCTTGTCAGTCAAACCAGATAGTGTTCGGCGAATAATTTCCGCAGAACACTAGAAGATCAGCTACATAGGAACTTATAATAATAATAATAATTTACTTTATTCCAAAAACAGTACTTGTGATACAGAATGGAATTTTCAGCATTAATCACAATATTGCATCTAATTTCCTCAAATTATAAATAAAAATTAATCACACAGAAAATTTTCCACATTTACAATAGAGGTAGTGTCAAAAACATGCAGCATATAAAATGGAAATAGCAATAATAATGATAACAGCTAGGGTAATAATAATAAGAATACAAGTGAAAATTGCCGTTGGCTTGTGTCACACAGTATTGGCAATGTGGTATAGAAATCCTAACATGTTTAAAAATATTGAATATAATGTTCTTTTTACATGATATGGTGAGGGGAAAAACAAAGATTACAGCCGTCATGGAGATAAGTTGGTGTTTGCAATTATGAGAGTAAAACAGAGAAGTAACAGGACCATAAATATAATAGAAGTAATAAAAGTAAAACTTGAAGGTATATAAGGATGGATGGAGGAAATTGTTTATTTACTAGATGAAAAAAGGTTAGTTAATTCTTGCCTGACACTATTTTCATCACATAAAATACGTGCCAAGTATGGTATCATAGAATTTTTATACTTAGACGTGCGAGCATACAGTTTTCTGAAGTTACTCCTTGTTCTACCTGAGGAGATGCAAGGTGAAAGCTGAGGGTAAAGCGGATGCTCCAAGTCAGACAAAATCCCTTTAGCAAATTTATTGCACGAAGTCAAGTGCCTATCGACAACGACGTTAACTATGTGGTCCACTGGGACACCACTCACCTTACTGACAGTCTTCAGTATTCTACGAATTGTGACATAGTCCTTTTTAAGCAAACCAGGAAAGAATAAGGGTGAGCAATAAAGAAGAATAGGTAGGATGCAAGAGTTTATGAACTGTAAGATGAGGGGTTGAGTTATACCCGAGTGTCTTAACTTCTTAATGTAAAATGTCAGGCGGAATATTTTACTGGAGATTGCTAAGACATGGGAAGACCAGGAGAGATCAGAAGAGAGAATGAGTCCAAGATACTTAATTTCTGATTTGATTCCTATATCATTGTCGTCAATTTTACAACTGTCATGAGAATCGATGACTTCTTTTAACTGTCGTTTACATCTTAAGCTGAAATCAACAGTTTGACACTTAGAAGGATTCAGTTTAAGACCGTTAGACTCAGACCATTTGCTGACTTCCGATAGAAAGCTATTTATTTTAGTACAATCTAGCTGGGAGTTAACAGCCATTGAAACCGTTAAATCATCAGCGTACTTCACAAAGTTTATTTCATCAGAGTGAGGCAAGTCATGCAAGAAGAAAGAAAAAAGAAAAGGAGAAAGAACAGCACCTTGAGGGACACCAGCTTCAGTAGGCAATGAAGTGGAAGACTTCCCTTTATATACGGTGTACTGCTTTCTATCTGAGAAATAGGAATGTAACCAGTTAACAGCCCAACATTCTGTTTGACTAGCAGCAAGTTTATTTAATAAGATGTCCCTAGGGACCGAGTCGAAAGCAGATGTATAGTCTAGGAAGGCGCAACGAACAAATTTAGCCCCCTTGTCTAGACTGGAAGCAATGTTATGATATAAGACGGCAGCTGCATCTAAAGTGCTTCTACTGTGCTTATAGGCAAATTGTTTAGGGTCATTAAAGGATTTAAGCGAAGGTACAAGACTAAGTAAAAGTAATTTCTCCATAGTTTTCAAAAAAGGAGAGGTAATAGCAATGGGTCTAAATTTGACACATGCTCCAGTAGAAGATTTAGGTATGGGTACAACTTTAATGTCCTTCCAAACGGCAGGCACAATATTATCGGAAAAAGATTTGTTAAATAGATCAGTAAGAGGGTGACACAGAATATCAGAACATTTTTTAAAAATAATACTAGGTACATAATCGGGACCTAAGCTCTGGGAAGGGTTTAGAGACTTGAGGCACTTTTGAACATCATTTGTGTTAAAACCTGGAAAGGGGCTATTATTAACACAAGTGATGCTGGGAAGCATGGCATTTGAGGGAGAGTAAATAAAAGATTTGTTAAGAGTACATACATCAAAAGAATATGGAATATTGTTTATCTGCTTACCACCAGTGATTTCCTTAAATAGTTTCCACATATTAGAAGGATTTTTGCAGGATATGAATTTCTGGTTATATATTACATTCAACCTCTGCATTTCAGACTTAATTAAGAAGTTAGTTCTTTTTACACCACTTTTATCTTTCATCTTATACAGTTTTTCCTTCTCTCTACGAAGCTTTTTAAGTTGAGGCGAGGAGAAACGGTCAAATTTGACGAATAGTGTTTCTTTTGGACAACAGATTTCAAAACAGAATTTCAGATAGGATGTAATATTAGAGATATTGTCATCAAGTGAATCATCATTAAACAAATCCCATCTTGTGTCACTGAGCATGTTTCTAAGATGATGTACGTTCTCATTTGAGTAGCATCTGTGAACAACTTTCTTAGACAAGTTTGAGAGGGCTTTACTGTGTAACTTTCCGTAAATTTTGGGTAAGACTCGTACAATACAATGATCAGAATTGAAGAGCGGGGCTCTTTTACGAGCTTCGTATATTCCAGAATCATTTATAAATACTAAATCAAGTGAAGTATTTTGTCGAGTTGGGAAATTAACAACATTTTCATGGGAATGTGTAGAAGAACAAATAAGCCTTAAATTACAAGCCAGAAATCGTTAAGGTAAAGCTGACAGCAGCTTGAGCGAATTAAAATGGGGGCCTGTTGAACTTCGGTATATCCTTTGAAATCAAAATTAGTGATTTTTTTTATTATGAATTAATTCGAATGGGTGATTTGGCACTTTAAATTTTTGTAAGTAGTTCTTGGAGGATATTCAAAAAAATCAGTATTGTTGTTCTGAAGGATTTCAGTTCTCTTTCAATAATATAATGAAATAAATCACGGAATATGCACGTACGAATACTAATACTGGAGTCATTTGAGGCTCCGTAATTCGAATGAGTACAGTTTAAATCCTCTAACGAAGACCAGTTGGAGGGAAAGTCTGTTGCCAGCAGCCGCGGTAACTCCAGCTCAAAAGTATATATTAAAGCTGCTGCAGTTAAAAAGCTCGTATTTGAACCTGGATTGTGCAGTCGAATGCCGTTGCTTGTTCGCGGTTTTGGTTACGATCAGAAACTGTGTTCGACTCAGTGTGCAGCCTTTCAGCCGTATCTATGTAGACGCGTGCCGACGAAGATGGGTGAGCTTGTCTTGCCTGCTATCTGTCGGCATGCTTCCGGATGCCTTTAACCGGGTATCGGGAGCGGATGGCTCCTTTACTTTGAAAATAAATCATTGAAAGTCTAGAACAAATAAGACCTCTTTTTTGTTGGTATTAGGTGGTTGAAGGTAATTGGCAAGAATCCTTTAACCCAGGTTCAGTGCTAGTCGGCACTCGTCAGCAAGGTGTATCTGCAACCTTGGAGGAACTCATACTCCTTCTGAGATTCGGATCTTAGCACGAACCCAAGTCCAAGGCTTTCTGCCGATTGCCTTCAGCCATCTAATACCAAAAATTTAGAATGCACTGTGATGGCGAGATACCTAGCATGGTGGCCACATTGCAAGATTTGACTGATAGAATTCAGTCTGCACCAAAGATAGAACTAGACAAACTACACTAGTTGCTGACTAGTGTGCAATCAAAATAACTCTTTTTTATTTAGAATGGACATAATAAGAAGATGGCACGTGAATTTCTTTTGGTCATATTTAGTTTAAATGACAATGTTTTAGATATAATACCTTTTTTTCGGTGATAAAATTGACATATTTGTTTAATTTTATAAATATGTTGCTGTAAAATAACGAAACGAAAAATGAAAACAGAACCAGAATAACTTTCCTTTTTTCTTAATAAAGTGAAACATTTTAGAATTTTTGAGTTCCGACACGAAAAATGAGGATTTTATAAATTACATCTACTCAATTAAAGCAGCGTCATTCAGTTTAGTACCATATTTATGCATATTATCATATACAAATCTTTTGAACTATAATCTATTCACAATCTATTCGCATATACCACTAGGAATTTTGATTTCAGTTATTCAATATTCTTTAAAAAACAGTAGTATTCTCAATAGCAGCTGTACGTCAACTGTTATGAATATATAATTGTAGAACCTAAAAAAGTTATTGAAAAGAATATTTTCAATAAAGATTTTGAAAACCAGAAGAACTGGATACCTGTATCATTTTTGTTTGGAAATTTTCATCAGTACATATCTATGACACCATCAGGAACTTCAAATTACAAGGCCGACATCGTTGACTGTCCAGCCATTTTGGCCGGAATTCATTGACCCCTGAATAGTAACTTCTGCCGATGCTTGATATAGACCTATCCCCAACCATTGTTTTCGTTGAGCATTCACTTCACCTTGACATAGTGGGCTCCGCTATCTATGACTTTTCTTTACAGCTTCAGGATATCTATCCATTAGTCGTCAGAGGGCTGGATATTGGTATTCGGGGCTTGGCTTAACTTCAATGTACATTTCTTAGTTCACGAGTCAGTTTTATTTCAGTAGTAATTTTTTTTATTTAACAATGACATGGGAAATGTTATATTGATACATTTCAGAGAATAACGTCCAGTTCGGATGCTATAGAAAAATTAAACAATGATGCGCACACACCTACTTCTCAGTATGCAGATAACAATGAACCAAATCACCACGGGAAAGAAACAACACAAGAACGCATTCTTCCGAGGAGAAACAGTATCTTACCAGTAAGCTTAAATTTATTTACATGACAATTAGTTCTTTAACACCTGGAACCAAAAATGTTTCTAACAGTAAATTTCGATCACTGAATTGTCTAAACTGGAGATTCAAGAATATAACTTGTGCACTGTGGTAGAGTATAACTCCATTATGGGTAAAATTTATTTTGATTAAGTCTCACAGTGTTATACAGTAACATTTACTAATCACAACGTTTCGAGCACAATTTATTGCTGCTCACAATCATATCAGGACACTACTCATACAACTTTCTTACTTAGTTTATATAAATCCATTATTTTTCATCACTTGATTTGATTGGTAGTAGTATTTTCCATATGTCTGCTTTGAGTGATGTGTTGGGTGTAAACTCGATGAACAAGGATTTACTACCAGTAGCACTAAGTAGTACAAAAGAGACCTAAATGATGAAATGAAACAGAAAGAAGAGGAAGTGGTGTTGAATAACTATCCTATAAAATTCATTAGGAAGATCGAAAAAGGCCAAAAGCAAAATAAAAATAATTATGAAACAAGTAATGATAACATAAATAAGAGAGAATATAAGGCATTTACAGTTATACCATACAGGAGGTGACATCTGAGACCCTCCCTGCGTAGGATTCTCAATAAAGCAGGAATTAGGGTGACATTCAAACCTACAAACTCACTCACTCAGAGACAAGCTGTGTAGGGTTAAGAATCCTGTTGTTTGACCCAATTAGACAAAATAATATAATTTACAAAATACCTTGCAATGACTGGGAGTTAAGTCAACAACATAGGTCAAACTAGTAGGTCGGGTGTAGTTAGATTGTCAGAACATAAGAATTTAGCTAAGGTTAGAATGATTAACCCCGAGAAAATAAATAATTTAGAAAAGAGCTCATCAATTTCAATGCATGTATTAACACACAACCATACCATAGTGTAGGACAAAGTCAAAATTCTAAGAATATAGGTAGGTGAAGAGAGAAAGAGAGGTTGATTACTGACCCTCTATTCATAGAATCTGCACCCAACACTTGCAATAGGAATGACTCATCACTCATACCAGAGATTTAGAAAACACTACTACCAGTCAAATCAAGAGATGAGAAGTAGTGGAACCATATAAACGAAGTTCAAGAGTTGTGTGATCATCTTGATATGATTGTGAGTAAACAGTTGTGATGGAAACGTATTCAGTAAGTATTCATGTATGATACTGTGAGACTTAATCAAAATAAATTTAACCTGGAATGGAATTATAACTGGTGACTTTGAATATTTGTATCAATTTACTGTCATTACCCTAAAATGGATTTTAAATAAAATCATTTTCATATTAACTTTTATTGTAACCATGCCGGTTATAACACTGACCATTGGATTGTCACCTATTGGAATGATGGTCATAAACACGCGATATGATTCAAAGGTTGAGTATGTCACACGGTTGATGAAAAACCGTTGCATCACCTTTGCATTCCAAGTAGATCATATGGTTTCAAGCAGTAAGCTTAGAATCCTCATCAGAAGCGATGTATGTTTTACGGGATTTGGGTGTCTAGTATCATACCCAATCTTCCCTGTTTATCAGCCTTGCTATCGGCTAATCCAGGTTTAGGAGTGCTTCGACCGGGGATCGAATCCATGGACTACTAACTTCGTTGGTGAGTGTCATACCACAGAGTCACTGGTCCAAATTAAATTAGTGACTTATCCAACACTTTCTGGTTTACAGTAGTCTTTGAAGTAAGTTCACCTTATAATGAAGATTATCTTAAAATATTATTTCACTAGTCGGTTAGGTATTATTATATATGTGAATTCATTTGACCGGAAGTTCTGTTCTTTGATTTCCGGTTTATTGACAGTATTTGGGGTCTGCAATAACATTGGGGAGGGGGGTTGGAAATTTCTAAACTGCAAACTTACTTTTCAAAGTCGAAAGGTACAAATTAGTCATATTATATATATATATATATATATATATATATATATATATATATATATATATATATATATATATATATATATATATATATATATATATATATATATATATATATATATATATATGACCACCGTTTAACGAGTGAAAACTCGGATATCTTATTACTGTTGCAACAGAAAAATGCAGCAATAAACTTCGTTGTAGCTTTATAACTTGTATACATCAGCAGCTAAAAGAATTTAGTCAGATTTACAGGTTTAGTAATAAACACTAATCAAATACAAATAACCTCATTCAGATAAATAACTGACTTAATGTTCACCCTACTGAATATATTTTTATTTGACCCTGAGGTCTACCTCTTCATATAACTTTTTAAATTCGAGGCGATCCTATCGAAAAATGTTAAAAGCCCTAATCCAAAATTTTGAGGTGATTGCTGTTCATCAGGAAAATGTCTCTGCAATCTTGCGGTAATTCATTTTACCAGTGAAGTTTTAACCAAGATCCGGCAATCTATAATGATCAGTGGCTAGCATTTATAAACCATCTTCCTGTGTGCTCGCACGCATGCTGTGACGCTGCCTACAGATGGCAACTTGAAACTGTTGATCATTCCATGAAAAATCAACAAGTTCTGAAATAATTTTTCGTCATATTTTCACTACAATGCTTCTGATCAACTATCATTAGATTTTAGAAAGTTTGAAAGTAGTAAACGAAATGTTTAGACTGCAGACAGGCAATTTAAACCTTTACAGTTTGTCTTCAGGGCTCCTCACTTATTACTTCAAATTCTTTTTTTATTCCTTCATGCTCCCAATGGAACATAGGGTTTCAAGCTAGAGGCTTGAAGTTCCTGTAGTAGTGTTGATTTTTTACAGGATGGGGTTGCTAGCCTAATGCCCAACCTTTCCTCTTTACTAGCTTTATTTCTGGCTTAGCGAGATAATGGCTACTTCGGTGGCCGGGGATCGAATCCTGGACCATGTGCATGGTTGGTGAGCGTCCTAACCTCTGTGCCACCGACGCACCCATGCCGTCACTCTGCTTATTATTATTTCAAATAGTCTTTCTTAATAATATACGTTTCTATTAGTTATTACGAATTAGTTCTCCAGGTGTTTTGTGTCGATTTGTGTGTCGATATAAACAATTGATTGAACACGTGTATTCACCTCTATTTCACTCATATTTTAAATTTAGAATAATTATAAATTAGTTCAGTGATATTTTATTTTCCATTTTTTTAAGGAAATGTTTCATTGATTTTATCTTCTCACATTTTCCCTTGTCCTAATAACTTTAATGTACTAATGTACTAAAATGCGTCATGTGACTTGTGGAGTAAATTAGTGACATTCGGCTTAAACAATATAACCAGGTGTTCAAATAACCTTTATGCGGAAGAAGGGTTTGTGCATAAAATGGATTAACTTTTCTAAAATATACAAAAGATTTGCAAGTACAATTTGATATAGGCAGGTTTCTTTATTTGGTTAATCATATAATAAAGGCAGAATGCTTGAATTTTCAATAATTTGGTTAGTACTGGAAATAACGTGGCTGTTGACATAGCCTTGCAAATCAAGGCTTAAATATTCACGTGAATTAGAGATCAAAAACTTATTTTTCCGTTGCATGGGTACAACTGTTAGCTGACTGAATTCCGTGTTATCAAACCACTAAAAAACCTGTGGTTTAATGGTTTACGAACTCGCCAGCCTTGTAACCAGAAGGTCCTGGGTTCGAACCCTGGCGGTGGGTGCGTACTGTTAAGATTCCCAACCTAGGACGAAACAGCTGTCCACTACTCCCAGATTTTCCAGTGGTTCTCTAAATGATGTCAGCTCATGATGAAATCTCCCAATCAATCAAGCTAAATCCCTACAAAACCAATACTTGAAAATATCTCTTTTAGTTTAAATTTTACCATGCAGATGATAAAGTTTGTAAAAACGGCATTACTTTTGATCCTGAACTACTGATCGATGAATCCTGTAGTCGAATTTCCTATTAGCAAAGCTACTGCGTCTTACAAATGATTTAGATTCATTCCAACAGGTGTAGTTGTAGAAAACCGATATAAAATAACGACTTATTATTCTTTTTGAAAAGAACTCGTGCAAACACAAGTTAAATGCATACAGATCCAATATAAAAAGCATCTTATCTATATGTATGTTTTGGGGAATCAAGACGAAGCCTAAAAAGGTTTGTAAACTTTAGGTCATCACCTAAACGTCCCTTTCTTCTTTTCCTCACACCTTTGCGTTCTTAGTGGAATACAGAGCTTCAAGCTTGAGATCTTAAGTTTCAATAGCGGTGGTGTTTTTCACTGGGGAAGAGTTGCTAGCCTCACGTCCAGCCTCCTCCCTTTGCCAGGCCTACTACCAGCTAATCGAGGTTTAGAAGTCAGTGGGCTGTCAATCGAACCAGGACCACGTAAGGCGTGAATTTTAACACAATCACTTCCTGTTATCCTGATTTGAGGCATACTTTTTTGTTCGATTCAAGTGTCAAGTAAAGTGTGAACTTTTCAACATCAGTGGAATACTTTCACTTGTCTTATCACCATCTCCCTCTGATTTAGCAAGTAATAATTCACTTGATAGCTGTTCAACTTTTGAAATAGCTTTGATTTCGTTTGCTTTTTCAAAATATCATTCTCTCAGGATTGCAGAAAATGGAAAATAACCTCAAGGATTCATACTTGTAATGTTCCATTGCATGAAGTATAAGTGTAGGTAGATAGGGTACCCTCAATGGCTTAAAATACTATTCACTCAATACTTTACCGTTCTATATCAGAAGGGAAAATATGACTTGGATATTGAAATTCGACTGATTGCACAGTATAATCTGTCACTATCCTGAACGATTAAGATTTGTAGTTCATGTCAGTGTTTTTGATGTGATTGTATTGTCCAAGACAGATGGTTTTACTGTCCAACTTTCATTGTGCTTCTTGACGATCTGAAGTGAAGTAACCAGTCCCTTAGTAACAGTATAACCTATATCTAGTCCCCTGTGATATAAGAATTATCCTAGATAACTGTGCCACAATTTAATTCCATAAAATAAGTTTTTTTCAGATACGATACAATGATACAGCACTACTTTGCAATGTGGTTACTATCAGCAGTGAGAATTAGTCCTTCTATGGTGAGAACTGTCTGCTAGCCAAAATTGTAGACAACAATTTACTTCAGTGTTTACGTCCAGAATCGGGGTCATGATAAAAAACAATAACAAAGCTTAACCTTGAGAAATCACCAACCAATCTCTGCAGACTTAATGTTTGTAAATATGATTCGCAGATATGTGGCTTAACTTTCTAAGAAACGGTTGCGAGCAGCACAGAATAACCTTGAGCAAGAGAACAACCAATCAGAAGAGGTTGCTTCTCTGCTAACAATAACGCTGATAATAATCTACATAAAAATCTATAAATATATGTTGATTTTCTCAACAAACGATCTGTTGCTTGGCACTTTGTCTTCTATCGTTACACTTCGATACTTTGGTAGAAATAAAGATGCTTAGCATACGGTACCTTCATATTATACTACCAAAATAGACAAAGAAATGGAAATAATATCATTAGAAGTTGTAAATTATAATAAGATTAACAAAAAAATTAAATGAATAAGAATAATTTGATGTTAAGACTAAAGAGAAGATGTAGTATGCGTGTTCTCTCATCAACGAGTTGAATTCTCGACCTATCATTTTTTAAATTCCACTAAGGATTTGTACAGTATCTACGACAGAAAAAATTAGTAACCCATTTTCGATTGTGAACATGTCATTAACACTGCTTTGAAACATCCAATTCTCATCTCCTCAGATATCAGAGAGATTTTCAACTACTTACAAAATATCAAGTGTCTGGTAGACAAGTTACCTTCTCTGGAATTAAAGCTTCTGAATGACACTTTCAAAGGCTGAAAACTAAACTATTAAGTGTGTTCGCTCATAAGTATCTTCATAGCATTACTACTCAATAGCTCATTCAAAAATCTGATTGACTAGTTAAGGAAATTAGGTGAGTCAGTAAGGTTATATGACTGTTCACCGACTTTGTTTACTTGGATTACTGAACAAAATGTATTAAAATTTTGAAAGAAGATTAAGATAGTTAGGTAAAGATGACTTGTTAGCTTATGAAGACCCTGCGTGATTTAATCGGTACAGAAAAGCTTTCAAGGTGCTAAATATCACCGATGCATACCACCTGGTGATATGGCTTTAGATGAAATTCAATAAATCAGGCGTGTTCAGTCTTTATCACATTCGAAATTCTGAGCAAATCGTTGTCACATTGGTGTTTTTTCTGTTGCAATACAAATCTTTTTTCCCTCTGCAAAAAGGATACTTTTTGAAATTTGATAACATTTATGATGCCAAAATGGTTTGTCTGTTAGCCTTGGTGAATCTCGTCAGTACATTATAATCAATACAAATATAATTCACTCGAAATGAAAGAAATGTGCTATCAATAATCCTATTTTCACAAAATATGTATATTAGTAATAATGTGGCTTCTTAGCTAAATTTCTATTCTTACTTATATTTACTTTCTACAAACTGACAGAGCTATTTAGAGAAGAGATCTCTGAAAGCAAGTGAAAAAGAAACACGCAATTCAGATGAATCTAGACCGCCATCTGGGAAATCAGAAAATGTAGCAGATATTCAAAAATGTTCCATTCAAACAAATAACAATCATGTGAACAAATCAAAAGTGTTCCCTGTTCATCAAAGAAGAACAGCTAGTGTTTCTAGGACTATAGGTGTTGTAAAACCAAATATTAATGGAGGTGAGTGATAATAAACTTCATATTGTAATGATAAAGTAATAATTATATATGTCCAAACCAAGTTCACTTTTAACGGTTTGAAAAAATTTGGCATTGGGTATATGATATTCATTATAATAAAGGTGCTTTTTGTATTTCCCAATGAATGAAAAACAAAACGATATTGCTTTTACTGACGTTTATAATAAAGTAATAATCCATGGCATAGCTACGTGCATTCAGTTTATACGTCATAAGTTTTCTGAATAGCTGTAGAATTTTAGGTTGCATAAACCAGTTTCATTACTTTGTGATTTCTACTACCTCTTAAGACAAATTAGAGAGTTATTCAAAGCTTAACAATCTTTCATTTAGACAAAGCAATAAGAAGACGTAATTTGTATGAATCATGTAATGTATTTGCGCAACACTTATTTCGAACAATCTGATCACACACGGACTTGTCATTGGAATATATATGTATGAAATTTATTCTCTCACCTCTTAACTCTTTATTAATTTCATATATATACCTACGACAAGTTCGTGTATGATCAGCCTGTTCGAAATGTGTTGCGTAAATACATTAAACGATTCAGACAAACTAAATATTCTTATTGCTTGGTATAAATTCATTAGGGGAACTAATTGTTTTAATTCTTTCATTTTCAATCCTTCAGTAGTTTATTAAAAACAAATCTCTCCAGAGTTTTTAATTAAAAGGATCAAAAAATAATCTTTAATTTTTTTAATCGTTGATATTTAGTTTAATAATTCTCTATTTTCAATACACGTATTTCTCAATAAGACTATATCAGCTTGAAATAACGCAGGGAATCAGTTATACTTACGGCCATATTAAGTGGTATACATCATTGCTGAATAGTAAATTACATGAATAAGTAAAAAGTCACCTTTTCAATATGAACTGATGCTAATTTAAAGGTATACAGTCTATTCCTAAATATGTTTATTTAAGTTCAGGTAAAGTTGTCATTCGACTATCTTAAGTGGAACTGACAGGCTTTTGAGAATTTCCAATGTATCGAGTTGCGAAATGAGTTGTTCTACTGCGAATCTTTCACTGACAAGGCACACAACACCATTAGGGCTAACTTCAAAACGGCCTGGTTCAACTATTGTCTTTTCGTTACGTATATTACTATAGGCAGTTTTGATTATCCAATTTTCAACCTTATTTTACCTATTTTTTTACAATTTGACTGATTTAAACAGCTTCCTTCTTTATAAATTTAGTGCTGATATTGTCCGGGTTGATAATAAAATAACGATAGAAGTATCCAACCTGGGACGCAACACAACTCAAATCATCCTTCAGATTTTCAGATATTCTCCAATAATATTTGGTATTTAAGGTATATAGTTATAAAATGAATAGATGATGGACGTTCTAGCATAAAGGTCAGTGCAGTAAGTCTCCATGATAAATCTAGTTCATCTGATGGGACAATAAAGGATACAGTGTGTCAGCATTTCTCTTAAATTCAATTTATTGAGTATATTTGGTGAATCACAATGAACAGGCTCAGTTAGTATTGGACAGATAAATGCGTATATATACTGAACTGTTGTATCACTCACGTTCTAGATGTATTAAAGAATGTCTTACTTTCACTAACTTCTCTATTTACGTGACCATTACACAATCGAACATTAAGCAGTTTTATTCAGTTAATGTTAGGCATCAATTGTGTTGCAGTTTTTCAGGTCTTTTCAGGTGTTAGACACACGACTTATTATTGGCGAACAGATCCTTATTTATAGTGCTGATAATCGAGGTGATGTCTAGTCCACATAATAAAGAGTTTCAAGTGTACTAGTATTAGGAAATACACGAAATATACAAATACCAGAGAAAATACGTTCGAGAAAGAATAATTAAATAGGCGATTTAGTAATATTTTAGTGTCTAAGTAACCTAAGGTAGTACTTGGGAATACTTTGTTTCCCTAAACATCAAGTTGGGGAACTCCTACGTGAATTACTGCAATTTTTATGTTTTAAGAGACTTTAAAAACATAAGAGTGTCATCTAGTTATCTCAGGCATAGTAGATAATATAAGACGACCAATTATAGTTAGCTTTATAACTTTGTGTTTCTGTAAAAAAAATATTGTCCTAATAAAGCTTACTCTACAAAACGGCACAGATGAAAACTGAAGGAGTAAATGGTCAGTCGGGGGAACATACTATTCCAGCTTAACTGGAAAACCAGACACCATTGGAGATTTTTCAACATTAAAAAATCTTAGGATTCACCTTAGCGCGCTAATAATTCCACTTATTGTTGACTGTATTACTTTTTTTACAATTCAAAAGCAGTTGATTGCTACTCTTGTAAAAACCTCTTCCAGAATCACCATACTGTGGGAGTTGTTCTTCCTTTAAAGTGCTACATAAAGCTGTTTGTTTTCAACCCCTTGTTTCTTCTGAATACAGAAATGTTTTCTGTGTTTTATATTAGATAAATTTTTTTTTATTGAACACACAGTGATACAATATTCATAACTGAAATAAACCTGTATCACTCACTGTGTGTTAAATCAGATGAACTTATCTAATATGGAATAAAAACATTCTACCACAGTGTCAAAGTTGTACACTTACGTTACTTTTTCTAGGTTTCATCTGAAATAAAAGCAAGAATTTTGTAAAAAGTGTTTTCTTCAGAGTACTATACTTCGTCAGATGGAAGTGCTAAACAAACTTATAAATCCTTTATTTTACTTTTAGTAACTTACTAGTTCAAAATATAAAAAATAAATAACTTACGGTACATATAGTTATATCTTGCTGTATGACTTCAAATTTTACCCCGCTTATAGGTTTATTAACGTATCAACTGTAGAAAGTACAATACTCAGTAACCTATTGGCCTTTGATTAAACCTACAGTCTCCTAATGAGACTATAAAATCAGTTTTTTCGTGTTTTGTTAGCATGGATACGTTATATTCCGGTAAAATGTATAAAGTAAAGGGCATTAATGGAGGTAAATAAGTACCATATTCACTGAGTAAAACTGATAGTAAGAGGGATCGATAATTGTAGCTTCAGTCTTTACTGAAGTTCAGTTATTCAAACCGTACTGTGTGCCCGCCAAATACATTCCGTAACGAAACCTAAGCTAATATTACGAAACGAAATAGTTTCTCAATGTAAAGTATGAATAAAGTTCATTTCTAAAAATATTTACAGTCTTCAGCGATACACCTTTTTCTTACTTTACATTTCCGGTGAAACATAGGGCTTCAAGCTAGAACTTTGAAGTTTTAGTAGCGGTGGCATTAATTTTTACGGGATGGAGTCTCTGGCTAGCTTCATGTCCAATCTTCCCTCTGTACCAGTCTTATTACTGGCTCATCGTGGTAAAGAAGTGAGTCAGCAATCAGGAATCGGATCCCGAAACATATGCGTGGTCAACAGCGAACTTCCTACCGCTTTGCCACCGACGCACACCTATACACTTAGCTTTTTCATAATTAAACTATACTGCCTTAGAACTGTAGGTAAATTATTTTGAAAAACCAATGTTCACTGGAATGAACATACTTTTACTAACTTTGATAAAATCTAAACGAAAGATGATAGAGGAAATAAACGAAATAAGTTGTTTGAACAAGGTTTCAACTTTTTTAGTGGTTCTTACAAGTTCTGTCTAGAAGAATGAGGTTGGTGCTAAGTTTCTATACTCGAATTATCTTACAAAGAAAAAAGATCAATTTTCGTCAGATAATTCCTTGATTTCTGACTCGATCTTTCGAAGGGATAAGAATGAGCACTACTCGAAAGTTTTAAAAAAAAAGTGATAAAATAAAGCAAGAACAACAATGGTGGTTTGGTGCAGAATAATATGCTACCATCATTTATTTCGTTGGCTTCTCATCAGCTGCTGCTTACAGCCTAAATAAATTATGTGGTTTACATACACAGAACTTTTAACATACTTGCAAATTTTTACATGATTTTAGTTGACAGAAGGTTCTGCAATTAGTGAACAGTGCTCAGAAAATTACGCTTATATAGTTTTCACTCATGTAGTTCAAGTTTAAACAAAATAAATGTATGCATACAATCGTAAAGGAGTTGCGTAATGAAGACGAGAGATGAGTACGATGCCGAGTGACAAATAAATTAGATAACAATATACTGAGTTCAACTCAAATCATAGATACAAGAGACAAGCAAAACTACACTCTGTCAAAGGGGTGAGGTTAAAGCCAAAGATTACATAATCAAACTACTGTTGTTCTTGCTTTACTTAAATTCATCAAGGGGAATAAATGCACGAAGTTTACGATAAAATATCTGTCGAGTGAAAGCTAATACCTAGACATTAAGTGTCTCGAAATTCGTTTCCCTGACAACGATGACAACTACCGGACAAGACAGTTAAACGCCATGTAATACTTACTCATCTTGCTGGTTAGGTGAGATACTTAAATAGTTACGCTTAATATAAAGCAACAGAAATAATTATTCATATTGACGTGGTGCCTATTCATTTCAAAGTAGCTAGACATAATTTTCTTTGTAACATTTTTTTTCACTATACTCAGATAAACAGTCTAAAATTTTTCTTTCAGTCAACAGAAGACATACACAAGATGAACTGTCTCTATTGGATGTTAAATCTCAAGTGAATAGTTCTGAAGATGGGATGTCAAGTGATTTGAAATTATTCGTTCAGTTACAGACAAAGTCTAATCGTCGAGCTATTGCTAACGCATTGAATTATTGTTGTTTAGCTGGACCAGTAAATGAAAGTATGAAGCGGACAGCACTAGAAGTAAGTAAATAGGCTGAACCAATCTTGTTTACAAAGAGGATAAATGAGCAGAGTTTTTGAAAATATGACTGAGCTGTATATTTTTATTTTTGATTACAGCTTGATTCCACACCGTATTTTTGGTACATGTGTGGAATTTTCAGCGTGGATATCGGTAGCCCAAAATTCGCAGGCCGACCATAGATATCAGGTGTGCGTCGGCGAGGGCTCGAACCCCGGACCCTGTGCATGGTCGGCGAAAATCCTAACCACTGTGCCACCGACGCACATCTAATTTTATTGATATTAAAACGATGTGTCTTTTTCTAATTCTCCTGGTACTAGTTTGAAACTGAAGAACATGCATCAGTAAACCCTATGGTGATTGAAATTTCACATACTACATGCATCATTTCTTAGGGTACTTAAATATCCGATAATATAATGGACTTCAGGTCTAATGAACAGTGAGACTATTCTTGTTTGACTGACTGAGTTAATAATAATAATCATAATAATAATTTGCTTTATTCCAAAACAGTACTTGTGATACAGAATGGAATTCTCAGCATTTTACTACAGTATTGAATCCAGTTAGTACATTATCAATAAATAAAATTCTCTACATAGATTAAGGAAATCTCAGTTCATTATGACAACAACTTATTGGTATGTCGATAGCAAAGCCAAAATCGAACACTGTTTGAAGGTGTTAGAAAAGTACATGGTAGCATATTGACTAGCGTAAGCGGTAACAAAAAGGTCGAGATATACAGAGTGTGAAAGAACGACGAAGAATGTTTTAAATAGAGTTTGTAAGGAAGAGAGAAACAAAACAGAACATAACAAAAAAGAGAGGGAAAGAAAAGGAAAAGACAGAAAGAAAACGTTGTACCCATGAATGACATCAGTTGGAAAGACGAGATCCATTTGTTCTACTGACTATTTAATAAGCTAAAGGTTTCACGCCTGATGCTTTCTTTATCGCACAGAACGCGAGCTAAGTAGGGTATGGTTGAGTTTTTGTACTTGCTAGTGCTTGCATATAGTTTCCTATATAGGCTTTAGGTTTTGCCTGATGAGATACAAGGGGAGAGTTGTGATTGAAGAGGGTGGTGTGAGTCAGATAAAATGGATTTAGCCCATTTTTCACATGAGTCCATGTGCCTGTCCACCAGAATATTAACAAGCTGGCTAAGTGGCAAACTGCTTACCCTGCTGACAACCTTTAACATCCTACGTAATAAGGTATAGTCTTTCTTCAATAGCCCAGGAAAAACTAAGGGGGAACAATAGAGAATAATAGGCAGAATACGGGAGTTAAAAAATTGTAGGAGTAAGGGTTGGGTTATACCGGAATGTCTTAACTTCTTGATGTAGGAGGTAAGACGGAATATTTTCTTAGAAATCATCAAGATATGAGACGACCAGGAAAGATAAGCAGATAGAGCGACGCCTAGGTATTTAATTTCCTACTTGGTTTCTATTTCAGTTCCGTTTATGTTGCACACCTCGTGAGTGCTAACCAGCCTTTTTAGGTCAGATTTATGCCTGAAGGTGAAATTGACTGTTTGGCATTAAGAGGGGTTTAAGGTAAAACCATTTTCCTTGGATCACTGGCTGATTTCTGATAAAAAGCCATTTAGTTTAGAGTCTCATCAGAAAACTGCACAGAAGTGCAACATTTCAAGTTACCACATTCCATGTAGCACACAGAAGTAGAGGAAAAACGAATAGTAACATGGGAAAAAAGAGGGTTTAATTGATCTGGGAGATTATAAAGAGTGAATCTATATTGTGCTTTTGGGAAATATTTTGATCCACATTATCATGAATCTCAAATTATTGATTCTTAGCTTCAAAGAAAGCCCAACCAGCCTAGTCTACACCTCCCTACGTGGCTTACTCAAACCAACTGTCAGAGACTTCATGAGTTAATACGAAGAATCTTATGCCGAACATATCTGCTCAAGGTGTTCAGAAGATTGCATTTTGTTAGCGTCTTCACCTAGGAGGATAGTATCATCCATGTACTTTAAGTCAGGAAGACTATTCCCTGGTGAAAAATCAATCCCAAAGTCGCTAAAGTTGATCAAGGTCACATCCGTCACTATGTAACGGCGGCCTGCTTATGTACACCTTATCTGAAAATCATCATTTGCACAGAACCTCCGTGTTGTGCTACTTTTACCCATCACATTGTTTTTCGTCTTCTTTTCGTGCCTCTCGTATCTGCCTCAACACTGATTTATTTACTCTCTTTAACGTCAAATCTATCTCTCTGTCATTTTATGTGTTTTTATACTGACAAACGTTTCTTCATATACTACTGGCAAAATCTTATCAGCAGTACACGCCCCAATACTTCATTTTGATTCAAGTCTAAAGAAGTAGAATTTTCTCAGAAAATTATCTTAACTTATTTGAAACTAAGCCGTTTGAAGAGGGTAGTATTCATTGCATCCTACTGTTTTACTCATTTATTCACTGTTTTGTGTACTAATTAATTAAATAGAATTCATTAGTATTTGAAGTTATAGACATTGTTATAGACATTCATCACTTCATTTCCTTTACACTATGCAAAGCTTTTGAAAGCACCGCTTGATATGGATGCTCAAAAAGTGAGTTTTTAGAATTCAACGAGCAGGTAAATTTCTAACCTTATATGATGAGATAAATAAAGAGAAAGATTTGTAAACGGAAATCAAGATACATTCAAAAGTATAATAATAGAATAAAACAGCCAGTACTGATCAATATACCACTCAAAATACTAAGTGAAACATGTGACTATGTGCATTTTATTTTACTATCTTTCTAAGACACACATTTTCTGTTGTCAAATATACACTGGATACAAGAAGCAAAAATTCCAAACTTCAGTTGACCTATAAAGTATTCAATAGAAAAATTGTCTGTTGCACAGAATATAACATTTCTGTTGATGTTACTTTGCATAGTGAGTACTTTTTTCAATAAACAAAAGAATTAAGTAGGACTGCGGCGAATACACATTAATTTTCAAGTGTTGGCTGGCGAGGATTTGATTGGTTACAGGTTCCATCACAAGGAGGAGTACTGTACACAGCTGTTTCACCCTTGTTTGGGACTCTTCAGCATTATACACCCATGACTCCATTAAGGATCGAATCCTGGAACCTCTAGTTACAAAGCAGACGCACAGACCATTCACTCACAGAGACTCGATTCAATGGCCCATGAGTTCCAGCTTCTGGCAATTCGTGATATATAGTACAACTGCCAGCCAATCTTACCAGCGATTAACTATCTTCTTCTCTGACTTGGTCGACCCCGATGGATACAATTTCTCATGAGAACTCGACCTCGGATTGTAACAAAATAGTCTGAAGAGGAACTCACAACCTACGTTGTAGGTATTTGTTTGATTTAGAATGGTATGGCACTTCTCTGAAAGAATAAAATATAATAGTGTGGTGAGAGCTGTCTGCAAGCCAAAATTGTAAACAACAGTTTACGTCTCTGTTTACATCCCGTATCGGGGTCATCAGAAAAAACGAGAACAAAGCTTAACCTTGAGAAACTCGACAACCAATCACAGCAGACTCAGTGTATGCAATACCATTTGCAGATATATATTTAGGTAACTTTGTAGGCAACGGTCACAAGCAGTACAGAATAATCTTCAACACGAAGAACCAATCAGAAAACGTTGTTTCTCTGCTAAAATAACGAATGATAACGTACATAAAAATCTATAAATATCTGTTGATTTTCTCAATTAACGATCTGTTGCCTGGCCTTTGTCTTCTGTTGTTACAATAGTAGTCCACAAAGATTAGAGAAAAAGCCTTTTCACTGTGATCAGAAATACTCTTTTTATACCTAAATAACAATCATTGGATTCCTAAAGAACACTATAACTAGTATGTCTATTAACTGCCGGATAATTTTAGTCATTTAAATGATTAGCCATTCACAAAATGATGGATATTCTCCTCTTTCATAATTAGTACTAGACAATTCCTGACTGAGTTTCAGCGGGGAAACTTCGCACAGAAATGCAACACTTCAAGTTGTCATACCCCATGTAGCACACAAATATAGAGGAAAGAGTGAGAAAAAATATATATTCAATAAAACTTTAATGATCATGAATGTAAGGGAGAAAGAAAGAGCAATAATATGGCAAAACATGAGGGTTTACTTTGATTGAGCACTAGTAACTAGTGTTATGCGTCTAGTCCTTTCTTTGCTGCAGATTGAATTGTATCAGTCAGGTTTGTAATGTGGCCACCATTCTAGGTAGCTTGCCATTACGGTGCACATTGATTTAATCGATATGGGGGATTACAAAGAGTGGATGCATCTGTACCACTGAGAACAATTTTAAACAACATCACCGATAATCTCTAGTCTCTGGAAAAGGATTATCTATTATCTTATCTTAAAAACATTAGAAATGTTGCAGCTCAATACATGGGGACACATGGATGAATTGAGGGGACAAATATGACTTGTAAATAAAGTTCTGTTGTTTTTCTTTCCCTGAAATAAAATTCTAAAAATGCCTATACATTGAATGAGGTCACACCCAGATATTTACTCTGAGTGGATTGAATCGGTATAAACTCTATGACCTATAAAGCTGTTAGGAAATGCTTTTCAGTGTGTACTAAGTGGTATATTGCTTCCTGAATATCTGAATAACAGTTATTTGAGTTGTTTAATTTGACCTTTGTATACCTGTAATAAAGACTTAGCATAAAACTAGCCTACGTTTATTTTTAATGTTCTCGGTATCCAATCAACAAATCAAAATGCCTAGTTAAGTGCTTGCAAGGTTTTCTAGCCTTGTAGACTTGATTTCCTCTTTAAAAACAGGTAATAAGTAGAAGCTTTTGAATAAATAAATTTAATGTTAATATCATGCATAGTTCCTTTTATACACCTGATTATATGAGGGAAAATTATTACTGAAGTATCGCAATGTGGATCAATTTTACTTCACCAACCCACTTTAACTCCGTGCAGTCTTT